CTCTTGGACGTTTACTTGTGCCATTCCTTTTCAATAATCACACCTCTACTGAAATCCATTTGACGATTCTAACTGTAAGATGCGAATGAATTGATGATCACTGTTAAATAGTGCTGATACCACGTGATTGCAAAACGTTAGCGTATCCTGTGCCAGTATATAATGACGTAAATGATCATTTAAGGTGACAGATTGGTGTATCATGAAACCGATATTTCCCGCAAAGAGTATTAAGTAGCTCATATTTATGTTTGTGTTTGGCAGTAAGTAGCGCTTCCATTTCTGGTTTGACAAATGATATCGTGCCTCTAAGATGTTGACGTAAATTCTGACTGTTCAAGCTAAGACCAAAGTATAGTCCCACTGTGGGACCGACATAAATGACTGTTCATGTATATTGTGTAGGCAGGTAGGGTATGCATGTTCGGACACAGCTGGCTTAATGCAATCATGCTTTAGAGTTAAACGATCTATTTATTCATAGTTATACGTAATCTATATATTTAATATATACTGGACAAAAATAGATAGGGATGTATGTAAATTTTGAAATTATGAATAATGATCTATCATTTTATTGACACACTGGTAAAATATTAACCATAAAATACCAATATCCCTAACTTATTTTGTCCAGTATATATTTGTTTATTTCTAATTACATGTAATCAGACACACAATTAAATGGAAACATACCAGGATAGCTAATGTTGAGCATCGTAAACCAGCATTGGCTCACTGCAGAATTATCAATGGACATAAAGGGCGTGGTCAGGAGACATACTATTATGACTCCTTTTAAGCATAGCCGCCTAGGCATTCGTGATCGACAAATATGACACACTGACAGGTAAGGGGCATGCATACTTAGACCCATATGTATAATTAGACACATATGTATAATTAGACACATATGTATAATTAGACACATATGTATAATTATAATTAGACACATATGTATAATTAGACCCATATGCATAATTAGACACATATGTATAATTAGACACATATGTATAATTAGACACACATATGTATAATCAGACACACATGACATGTAGGTAAAGGACAACCGTGACACATGGGGGTGACAACATGCACGCCCGAGTGGGCAAAGGATGTGCATAATCACACACTTGGCCCCCTGTAGGCATAACCGTGTAGGGAAATGAAACACATGGCTTACTGTCAGCATACCCCGGTAGGTAAAGGGTATGCAAGTCTTGAATAGATTTGGATTACACGTGTAAACACCTTCCACTCATTTTCCGACTCCGATGCACTTGTCTTTGCATATATTGGTGAACATGCTAAAAATGTTTTAAAAGTTTTTATTAACTCACATGACGTTATTCCTCGGACTGATATGTGTCATTAGATGCATAGTGTCTTATTGTGGTGCTGCCGGCCAGATAGAGTCCATCTGTCTATCTGACAGGACTCTGCTATGGCGGTTTGCAAGGTAGAGTTGCGGCAAGTATTTGACAGAACACCATAACGACAGCTTGTCATTTACAGTTGTGTCAGGTATCAACATCTGCTCCATGTGATAGGAAACTATTACTACGCCTTGTAAGGTAGATTTGCATGTGCATTCAGATTTATAAGAGCCAATATAAAAGTGTTAATTTTGTTATACAAAGACGCCACATAATGACTGGAATTGGACAAGGGAAATAAGAGACAATCTATTGCACTCACCAAATATTTTTTAACGAAACTGTGAACAAACTATGTATGTACAGGGGCACTGGACCAGGGGTCTTCCTGGGGTGCAAACCACAAAACCTTCTTGAACACCATTGCTTTCCTACATGTCAGTACTCATAAAGTTTAAATCTAAGACTCGGCCACCCGTAACTCAGTAACTGGGATTTGTTTTACCAAATGGTAAGCGGGTATGACCGACATCACTTTCTGCTTGCCACTCACATTGAGATTTATTTGTTGAAACCGAAATGTTGTTGAAACAGCCTTGGAGATTGGTGTGATATGACGTAAACATTGATGATAACAACGTCAATTTTTCGTTTACTGCAATGCTGGAGTCGGTTCCAGCAGAACATGACGTGAGGCGAAGGGGTATAATTATTGCAGGTATGTATGTTATAAGTTGTTCACTGGTCACGTGGGGTGCACTGGTCACGAGGGGTGCATGGGTTGATGTACTCTCGATGTTTGTTTATGTTCCCCTCGCCCTTCGGGCCAGTTCGCCTACACATTGCACACTTACTGGAGGTACAGCCTTCGGGCTCAGGGAACATAAACAAACACCAAGGGTACATCAACTCATGGGCCCCGAGGGACCAGTGAACAACGTATTTATCTTACCGAACACCTTAATGTTAATTTTAAATTGTTTGAAGCACGGGTATAAATCTTTTTGTAGCCATCGCTAGATTTTCCTGACAAAAACAGATTTAGAGTTATCTCCCTTCCATCAATTTGCATTCGCAAAACATCGGTAATTTCCGTACATCATACGTGATTCAATGTAATTTGAGATAAAGAAATACTACCACGAAGTACCAAATGAGTTGCCATTGACAGCGGGGTACATTGAAATATTACTCGCTTGTAAGCGGGATACATTGAAAATAATAGAAGATCGCTCAGTCAATCAGAAAGCGACATTTATGTGTGAGGTAAGATAAGTATGTATGTACACGCATGTATGTGTGTATGTCGTGTGCGTGTGCGTGTGTGTGTGCGTGCGTGTGAGCGTGTTTGGTCTGTTCCTGTTTAATAGTGCTTACCCACACAAATACCATTCCCAGGATAACATGGATATCCCAGGAAACACAGATTCCTAACCTGGAGCGTTCCAGTCCATGTTGTATCCCCTAAGATAACTTGTAAAATGTCTTTGTGGCTTAACCACCTTACCGTACTGTCACTCCATCTTTTGTCTCGTGTTGCTTCCATATTAGACGTCAGCACAAGTACAAAATCAAACGCACGATAACAATTTCTGTTTGTTTGTATGCCCGAGATGTGCTTCACATCGGGCCCACATTGTTCCAGGCGACGTTATGCCAAGCTCATTCACTCACTTATTTGAGAACGAGAATTGTAGATATAAGTTTAAAGGCTACATGGGATGAGAAGGCATGAAAGAGCAGTGAGGGTGTATGTAGCATTTTAAAATATGCTCGGGGTCTGTATGAGACAACATTGTGGGTTGCCAAATCCTGTAGTTTGTAAAGAGGTCGCTAGAGCAATAGGGTTGGACTCTATTCCATAATGGACAAATGTATGGATCTCTTAAGGCAGAGTAAAACCATACTCACTCCCAACACCTTTTAACATGCATTCCAGCCTGGGATTTTAAGTAGGATGATTATTCAGAGGACGGTTTTGCAAGTCTTATTTTAACTGAATTCAATAATAAAATGAACGTTCACAGTAATCACAGATTAAATTACGACATATACTGCCAGACAAAAGAATTTTGACATCTGATAGCTGGGTATGACCAAACATTACAAATGATACCAAACGTTACTGGGCTGAAAACGATCATCGAAACACTGTAAACGCACATCGTCGACAGGTTTTAATCTTCAAAATGTTTTCACTTTTTACTGTATAAACTATTTTCGTCACGATATGGCTGAGATATTGCCGATGTGACGTTAAATATTAACTCACTCACTCACTGTAAACACAAGTTAAAAATACATCCAAGACATCAGTATCAGATGCATCACCATCACATAACAGTTTCTGGAATCTCACTTCGTGATTCAAAGTTAATCTGGACTTTCTGGTCCCTCGATCACTTGATTGTCTGGTTTGTTTACAAACCACATGAACACTGCTGTGCGGTTTTGGGTTATAAACAATTGCATTTTAGACATGCTTACTATTTTTTGGAACACCTCGTATCATCACGAAATTTCAGTTACTAATTCATGTAATTCATGTGAATGGTAGGTGCTGCCACTTTCGCGAACACCTGGTGTCATCACTGATTTTGAGTTATCAATTGATATAATTTCCACAGCTATTTTGTCCCTTACTTGACTGACTGACTGAGTATGGTTTACGCCGTTTTTAGCAATATTCCAGCAATATCACGGCGGGGGACACCAGAAATGGGCTTCACAAATTGTACCCATGTGGGGAATCGAACCCGGGCCTTCGGCGTGACGAGCGAACGCTTTAACCACTAGGCTACCCACCGCCCCTCCCTTACTTGAAATGGAATCGGTTTCGGAGGAAAGTCAAAACTGGGTATTATTTTGCACTGGCATTTTATATGTATTGGTTTCATTCAAAAATCTAAATAACAATGGGTGTAACTTTTCATTTGCCTGTCAGAATTTGTCAGATATAGTGACTCAAAACAGGAATCTCCGATTTGAAAACATACATGTTATACTTACATGCACATTTGCATGCATCTTACAGACAAGATACTATTTTTTCTGTAACTCGTATCTCGACGGCGTTCAAGGAGACAAGAACGCACATGACTGTGCAAGTACGTTCTGTAGACTACCAGTTATTTAAAAAATACCTTAATCTTAAAATTGACATGCCCGGGTATTTTCTACGAAGTTTCAATAACGTTTTGTAAGACTTAATAACTGAAAAGCGTGCGGCTGGTTATTGGCATAGTTGACAATAGAAAGCAGAGCTCCAGATAAGATTTAGCTCATGTGGGAACTGTACCCACTGTATTTTTTTGGAGTGGGTATTATGAATGTTGAGTGGGTATTTAATTTTTCGTTACCCACTGCTTTCAAATATGTTCGTATTTCAGTCATTTTACTCACCTAAGTATTATGTTACTGAGTAAGTTTACTAAGCAGGTATGTTCTGCCTTATGTCATACCTAATCAAAACCATCTTAAATATAATGGAAATGATTTCATTAAAAATCACTCATCTCATACTGACAGTACAACACTTGTCCTATACTAACAGAACAACTTGATAGCAATCGATATCTTTTTCATTACGCAAACGATGTTTTATAAATATATTCCGTACGCATTTGTTTTAAACGTTTTGCGTATCTAACATTTTAAATGCGTAATTGGTACGCAACAATTATTTTTCAATGCGTATTTTGGAAATTTTCTTTGCGTATTTTACCCGAATACGCATCTTATCTGGGCCTCTGCAGAAAGGATTAATACCTGCGAATACACTGCTTCATGTTCGCTGTTTTTTTTTATCGTGTTATGTGAATTGAATCGAGGGCAGATGGAAGGGAAGGGTCAAACAGTTCTCTGTCTGGACATCTGAACGTCTGAACGAAATACAATATTCCTAAACAGTGAGTCCACTTTTACATGCAAGACTGAACCCATACACCACTCTTTCATAAAAATAGGCTGTCGGGTAGCCTAATGGTTAAAGCGTCCGCTCGTCACGCCAAAGGCCCGGGTTCGATTCCCACATGGGTATAATGTGTGAAGCCCTTTTCTAGTGTCCCCTGCCTTGGTATTGGTGGAATATTGCTAAAAGCTGCGTGAAACTCTACTTACTCCTTCACTCTTATGAAACAGAGTCAATTTTTATCTGCTGGATATATAATTGAGAAAGATATGTCACTGCAGATAATATTTTATAGCTATTTATGCTCATCAAAACGAAATATTTTCATGTAATGCTATTTTTATTGTGTTTATTGCGTATCAATTTGAAGCGTTACCATAGCAACAGTTGTCAATGCCACATCAATCAATCAGCTTAGTGCTTCCAGGTAAATGAAGCGACATGGCCGTTCAGATTATAAATTACCTGGCTAATAAGTCAAATATGCAAGGCGCCCTCGTCAGAACAGAGGTGCTGTTGAGTATAGGGGCAAAGCGTGACAGATGAGACGAAGTATGACAGTCATGATATATAGTCTACTTCACTTTCCGCCATTACTGTTCATCATGCCGCTAGGCGGCGCTAAATTGTCGTCTGCCTTTGTAAGGAAGTATGAAATGACACTATCCATCAACTGCCTGTGTCATCTTTATGGGGAAGAGTCGAGAGTGATGCGTATTTGCTAGCTTTTTCCGCTGTTTGCAAATCTACCGAGTACAAATTCCGTGGCAGACATCGCTGCATCATGATCACGTGACCGCAAACTCGACTAATTAGTATGCAGGTGTCACCAAGCGTTCCACATAAACAGGGTTAGCCATGTTCGATTAATTGTTGTGTTTATGTAGAACAAAAACTGTCAGCTTGGGAAAACAGTTTTATTTATGCTGTAATACTGCTGTGATGTGATGTAGCAAAGAATTTGTTTGTTGATCAATGCCGCACTCAGCAATGTTCCAGCTATGGCAGCGGTCTGTAAATAATCGAGTCAGACAATAAATCAGACAATCCAATGATCGACATCATGAGCATCGATCTTCCCAATTGGGTTAAGATGACATGTGTCAACCATGTCAGCGAGACTGACTACCTGATTCTGTCAGCCGCGCGCGTCTTACGACAAGCATGGGTTGCTAAAGACCAATTCTAACCCGGATCTTCACGCGTTGCAGCCTAGAAGAGCAGACTGGTGTATCCATGGTGATCGTAAATGAGGTCGGAGGTAAAAAGTAATGCAGGTGTTGTTTAATGTTTATCAGCCACAGTCAGCACCGAAATAGGAACGGTTACGTAGTATGATTGATCTATGTTGCGGATGTACAAGCACCGGGCACCTCTAGAAACAAAACGATATATAAATATTTTAAGCAATATATATGATGTCTTCTAGCAGAGAGGGGATTGTACCCAAGGGTGTATGGATTAAAACATGTTTCCTTGGTCTGTCTCCTCCCCAATTTTCTCTCTCATCTCCTCTATCTAATCCGTCTCCCATAATTATATGGTACGAACAGCATAAGTTGATGTAGATTACACTTGTAACAATATATTCTTTATGACCATGTCAAAACGTAATGTATTTCAAGATGTATCTAAGGTATGGGTCTAACCTTTTTGATAATACAATCCGGATATGTACGTTATTCTATAATTGTTCTCACAATTAGTCTGTAGCAAAATACTGCAATTTCACCAAAAATAAATATCAAGTATTTAAACTTTCATACATCACGATTGCTAAACAACTAAAAGAATACATGAAAAGGTAAGCAAGAATCAAAACGACAATTTCATAATATTTCCACACACGATCCATATCTATATCACGTAGAAAATGAAAACGATTATTTAAAAATGTTCAGAACCAACTGACATTAGTTTGCCATACACACCCTGAAACAAATACACGTAATCCCGTCTCTGGTCTTCCTTTTTTATACTTTATGAATATACTTTAGGAACCATTTTTCTGTAATATATGTTGATTAAGAAACTAGATGTCAGTCTTAACTGCCCTGTAACCTACATCGCAAATCAATATTCACCAATTGGACAATTTCGTGGAAATGAGGACACACAGTTTTGCCACGCACATTTGTAAAATGTAACAGTCTTATCATATCTGAGGGCTAAATAATTCATTAATATACTTCTCGTCAAAAGTTCAGACACACTAGTGTAAATATAGCCACTTACTTCAGTCAACTGTTCTGAACTATATTTTACAAAATATTCTATACAGTTAAAGGGTACTGTTTACACATGAACTGATGTAATGTAAAACAAATTCGTAACATTGAAAATATTATTGTCATGAGTTCAATAAATGATAAAAAATCAGTGAAAATTGGCGAATTCTTAATAAAGCTTTACACCAAAACGCAGCTGTTCACATACGCGATATGTGCACATGCTTTTCAGCAATTTGATGCATGATCCTCGTACAATTCATCTGCATGAAGTTTGCAGTTGGTTCCCCCAAGTTAGTGGAGAAATCAATCTTCGATGTAATCATATATATATACATAACATATAGTAAGTGTTTTCGGTGATTCTAAACTTTTGGAGAGAAGTATATTTGAGGTGTCCGAGTTGCCCTTCACATTAGTTCAATCGGTTTGTTAGATTCTATTGTCTAAACCGCACACAACTATATTACGGTAAGTAGTTGAGTCTGGACCAGCAAATCCTGTGATTGATACAAACAACATAAATCTACACAGTTGGGATACGATAATAATTATCCATCAATCAAGTCTGTGTGTCCATCTGGTACCGTTAGTTGCTCTGTTTGAAGACACAACTAGGATAGGTTTGGATTTGATCGTATATGAAAATATTCATGTTTACTCTAAGTTGGCAAAACGCCAGTAGTTCTTCGGGCGACACGGTTGATTCGTGTGTGATGGTAAAAGTAGCGTCCCCTGGTCATGTATAATCCTATACTTCGGCACGTCTAAAAATCTGGCTTTGGCTGTCATCATTTCAACGACATGGCGATTAAACCACAGCTCAAAGTGGCGTTAAACCAAACTCACGCTTTAATATGACAGTGAGTTTTACTGTTACCTTTTAATGCGACTGTGAGCTAAGTTTACATGATGCCACCAATCGCCACTAAAGTAGGCGACCAATTAGGACTTAAACTATCCTGTAATCAGCCCGTATGGCATTTGCGGAGTGAGTGAGTGAGTCTAGTTTCACACCGATTTTAGCAATAGTCCAGCAATATCACGGCGGGGGATACCAGAAATGGGCTTCACACATTGTGCCCATGTGGGGAATCGAACCCGGGTCTTCAGCGTGACGAGCGACCGCCTTAACCACTAAGCTACCCCACCGTCCCGTATGGTACATGTGCGTGTATCACTACTATATTAAGGGATGTTGAAAGCAATATATAAACACAACCTTATATGAAATAAAATCAAAAGATGCATAAATTATACTGATGGTATAATTACATGAAAATATTATACAATAGTGGACGAGAATTAGTTCACAAGGAAGACACTATTTTATTTTATTTTGAATTATATATATAGGAAACTAGTCTAATATATCACATTTCGCGATTGTCAAGATTCCATTCAAGTCAACCGGGAAAATATATGTGTAAAAGCTAATAACGAGGAAGTGTTTACCACCAGCCATACTGCCATATATCGGACAACAGCTAAGCATGTCACGTCATCACGACAAGAAATGTACATGTCTGCCCTTCATGACAATTCTATTTATAAAGAGGCAAATGCTAATCCAGCGACAAGGCCCATTGAATAATCCTACAATCTCTCTTCTAGAAGGGGATTATAAAAACAACATGTTGTTTATGATTCATTATCGTGAGTGAGTGAGTGAACTGTTGTCGTTTGGCGAGGGTTTCCACAAAGACAGCTTATTTTAAAATTACAATCTGGTATTGTGTCAAAACAGATTACTTATTCGAAATATCTATAATGTTTCAAAGTGAGTCAGTGAGTATGGTTCTTCGCCGCTTTTAGCAATGTTCCAGCAATATCACGGCGGGGGATACCAGAAATGGGCTTCACACGTTGCACCCACGTGGGGATTCGAACCTGGGTCTTTGGCGTGACGAGCAAACGCTTTAACCACTAGGTTACCCCCAATTCATTATAGAATAGAGTTTTTACATTTTACAGGGTGTTCGTAAGAAGGACTGGTGAACAGTGGCACGTGTTACAAACACCTCAAAATGCAAGTAAAATGATCACATGAAAGGCACACGTCATAATATTGAATTGCATCAGACATATTGTTCGTCGTTGATTAGTTATATTTGGTTATGACATTGACACGTCTGCAATAAAACCATGTTGAATGCGTCATTTATGACGTAACCCTGATCAATCAAATTTTGAACACGTTTCGTATGGAAATTTGAAAGTTTCAGACTTCGAGAACCCATTGTGACTTGTGAAGTCTGACGCTAAGTATTGGACCATTACTCGATATAAAGGGGAAAGTGTATTGCCACCAAATGCATTCAAGAGAAGCGCTGAGTCAGTGAGTGAGTGAGTGAATATTGCTCAACGCGGCATATGGGCGGTGGGGTAGCCTAGTGGTTAAAGCGTTCGCTCGTCACGCCGAAGACCCGGGTTCGATTCCCCACATAGGTACAACGTGTGAAGCTCATTTCTGGTGTCCCCCGCCGTGTTAAAGCTGGAATATTGTTAAAAGCGGCGTACAACTGAACTCACTCACTCACTCACTCAACGCGGGAAAGGAATGCTGCAGCTAATTGGTGGCGAGTGTGACGACGAGATGCGTGATGATCTTGAGACATTAAGTACACAAGAGTTGCCCCCCTTGTTCTGACGATTTCATACGAACACAGCACTACCGGAGACGCGTAGATGACAAACAATGCATTTCTGTGACGTGCATAATGGTATATTAAATGACACAATATCGTAAGCTACTGGTTTATTGAACAATAAAATGACATTGTTTGTGGCAGTTATGTATCGTCAATGCTCGCGACACAGTGCTTGTTTCCGCACGACTGCCTCGATAATTCACTCGGTGCATCCCAGCACAACACTTTCAATCCACATTGAATCAGTTTCATGCATATGACTATTACATATACCATAGCTGAGTCTCTAGTTCTTTTTCTCCTAAACAGTCGTCGCTCTATAGACATGCTTGTTTATGCGTATCGGGATATTGTTGGTGATATTTGGTTCGAATCCAAGATTTTCATTAGTTATGGTGCGTCTGATTCATACAAGTTGGTTTTACAAAAGTAGCAAATATCTTAAATAATTTCTCCAACACGAAGCTGACATTATTAAATATGTATGTAATGGAGTCAAGATGAGTTTGTTCATTTGTAATCGTTGCTGTTTTTCTGTGAGCGAGTGAGTTAAAATGTCTAACAGCCATATATTCCTCTGTCATATAGCCACGAGACCCAGTGTTTACAAACGCACAATGAACTGTCATAGGCAGAGTTGCATAACACGAGTATTATATATGCTGTACAAAATAGACATAGTACAATGAATTAATAGAAAATGTTACAGTAATAGACTGTGGGAGCCCTAGTAATCTACACGCGCTGCAGTGTGCATCTCGAGAAGCTAATAATCTTGTGGCTGAGGTTCTTCCTCTATAGGCATCACCCTAGATTGTCTCATCGGACGCTGATCGTCCGTCAAATCGATTATAACCACTCCGATAATAAACGATATTACAGCAATTACCGCAACAACTATTGATACGATAACCGCGATGACCGATGCAGTTATACCCCTGTTTCTTAAACGACCCCTTGGTCTGGACACGTGACGTCTGACATCCGGCCTGGAGCAGCCAATGAAAGAGAAGAGCTCGGTATCCACGTCAGGCACTTCTTCTATCGAAGGTTGAAGAAACTCATCAAGAATCTCTTGCAAACACAATATATGAGTCTCATTTCTGACCGTTTGGTTGGAGTCCAACTCATCGCATGCGCTGTAAGGAGTCTGAAGTCGACTTCCGCCGGAAATGATCTGCTGTCCAGTTAGATCAGTGTTGTATAAATACACACTGTAGGCTCCTAAAACAGTTTTCAAAAAGGGTATATCGAGTGTAAATGATCCGCGATATGATCGTGGCACATTATCAACGATGGTTAAATTCCGTCTGCTGCTGTAGTTAGAATAGGATACAGATGAATTATCAACGTCGACTGTAAATGTTTCTTCGATGAATTCTTCATACGCAATAGTTGTTGAGCCTTTCTGGCCTTTGGTAGCGTCACAGGTCATGGGGAGGTACTGACCAATGGGGACACCGGATATTAGTGAATAGGTGTCGTTAATGGTTGCTGTATCCCGTATGAGGAACATTACATGGAATGGGGTTGAAGACGTGAGATGTATGTAGCCTGTCGCCTCTATTGTTGTGGTCAGGTGTTGGTCAGGCTGGACCTGAAGCTCAGCTTGACCTTCCACTGTTCTCACAGTCACATTGGAATCAACGACTGGACCTAGAGAAATAGAGCAACTGAATGTCAATGCTAATAATGAAAATAATAAAACACATGATTTATGATGATGATGGTAATGATGATTCCTATAACTTTAAGGGCAGAACAGCAGTGAAAAAATTACGAAAGGATCACTGAAATCCATCACGGTCATCCAGTGTTAACGAAAGTGTCGGCAAGTGCTGCCCATCCGGTAGCAGCCCCCACTCACAAAAACTGTATTAAAATGTGTTTTTTACCTAAAACACAGATACGTCCCTGCCACAAGGCGGTGAAGTCTTTTCTATACAGGTGATATGACATTTCTCACTCTCCTAAAAGGAATTTAAAGCACTATATTTTAAACAAACAGAGATGTACATTTCTTATTGATTCCACAAAGCATCAACATCATATCATTGGTTGGTTGGGTTGTTGTTTAACGCTGCACTCGGCAATATTCCAACTAAATCGCGGCGGTCTTTAATTAAACGAGTCTAGACCAGACAATCACTGATCACATCACACCAAGCTACACAGTTGTTGCGGGCATGGATGCCCCAGTTGCCCATTGTTGTAAAGAGTTGCGTCACTATTACCTAGTCAGAAACCTATTACTTGAGGTTCGAATCCAGGTCCACCCCATTAAATCTACAGGTTTGACGGCTCCCATGGGTTTCAACAAAGTGGTAATCGTCCTAGAGCTAGATTACTGCGGTCTTTCATCCCCATAAGCCTGACACGCCGCAGTATATTGCTCAAAGCGGCGTTAAGACCTATTTTACTCCCTACTCGAATCCTGCTTGACAAATAGTGTGTTGTGTACACACATTAAACTATGAAGCCAAAAGGTAAATGTTTTCGAATCCTTCTAGCTCTATAAATGCGTTTGACCATAATTACTCCTTATCAACCCGTGAAGATCCCGGTTAGAACTGGTCTTCAGTAACCCATGCTTGTTGTAAGAGGCGACTAACGGGATCGGGTGGTCAGGCTCACTGACTTGGTTGAAACATGTCATCGTATCCCAAATGCGTGGATCGATGCTCATGCTGTTGATCACTGGACTGTCTGGTCCAGACTCGATTATTTATAGACCGTATACAGCTAGAGTATATCTAGTATATTGCTGAAAACAATAAACCGAACGAAACAAAACCGTATCGAATATTATTATATAAAAAAGTTTTTTGAAACATGAACGACTTACCTGATACTATTGAGAGGAGCACTTGGTTATCGGCCCACCCCGGAAGAGGAAGGACGTAGTCATTTCCCCACGTGATGTCCGGTCGAAACTGTTCAATAAAAAGTTCAGCTCGTTTTGATTTAGCGGTATTCCAAGCAAGCACAAACAATGGTTCACTCCCTTGAATGAAAAGTCTGCACAACCGAAAAGCGCAGGTTACAACTGCTGTGTCGCTTTCGTTTAGCATCACGTGAATTGTCTCCCCTTGGCGGAAATGCTGTCCACCAAATTGTACTTTCGTGCTAGGATATTTGGGAATAGTGATTTGGACAGTTGTCTGCTCTCTAACTCCGGTGATTCCTATTGACGTGGAGCATCTGTACGGATGGCAGGGCGTTCGTGGTAAATACACAGTGTAGTTCCATCCCAGAGCCGAAACAGGATACACTATGAAGTTGTCATGGTGATAGGTCACGTGAAGCATGACGTCATCTGATGAGTATACAGATATACCACCTGTATGACAGAAAACAGCGAATTTGCATTAGTAATGATACCTGTGTCATATGGAATTTCATGAAAGATAATTCAATTCATTAATCTATAAACAAGTCTTGTGAGCAAATTATGTCTTATGTGTCTAAAGACCCGTAAAGGTCCAGGCCATACAACCCATGCTTGTCGTAAGAGGAGACTAACGGAATCGGGTGTTCAGACTCGCTGACTTGGTTGAAACATGTCATCGTATTCCAATTGCGAATATTTATATCCTCACGCTGTTGATCACTGGATTGTCTGGACCAGACTCGATTATTTACCTACCTCTGCCATATAGCTGGACAACTGCTGTTTTAAGCCACTAATAATAGGTCTCTAATCCGACTCAAACAGCTGGACAGAGTTGCAGATCTTAGTTTTGCAAGGATCCTATGATCCATTTACCCCTGGTTGTATTCCTTTGTTTGCTAACATTTTTCATCCTGATGCTTGTTGACCTCACCAAAATGTTAACAATTTACTTCTATGTGCCGTCCCACCGGTAAGGAGTTAGGTCCCGGCTACCTATGCTTGTCGTAAGAATGGATCAGATGATCAAGCTAATGATCTGCTTTACGACATGTTCCGGTGGTCAGGCTCGGCGACTTGGTCAATTGCTTGTCGTTACTTTCTTCGACTGTTTGGTTTAAATATAAGTAGAATATAGCTAGAATATTGCTAGAATATAGCTAGAATATTGCTAGAATATTGCTAGAATATTGTTAGAATATAGTTAGAATATTGCTAGAATATTGCTAGAATATTGCTAGAATATTGCTAGAATCTAGCTAGAATATTGCTAGAATATAGCTAGAATATAGTTAGAATATAGCTAGAATATTGCTAGAATATTGCTAGAATATAGCTAGAATATAGCTAAAATATTGCTAGAATATTCTTAGAATATTGCTAACTGCGGTGTTAAACATTAGTCAGTCCGATAATATCCGAAACAGCGTAACGACATTGAAGATCATTACTACATTAACATAATTACCAAAACATCATGAAATATGTGTCCGGAAATATCTGAATTAACGGAAACTACATCCAGCCTCATAAAAAATCCCAGTCCTCCTCCAAAGTTGGATTTCAGTTTCAGGCAACGGGGATCTATTCTGTTCCCTTGCAGTATCACCTTATATTACCTGAACGTGTTATTCCAGAAGTCTTGAGTCCGCGGCAGGGTAGTTCAAACCGGGTGAACTGAGCTATGTGAGTTCGAACTATTTCCGAGAAGAGTCCGGAGACTATCAACTCGATAATCAACCCTTTTCTCGCTGACGTCACAAGGAGGAATGGCCGGAAGTCCAAACTGCAACTTGGCACAGGAAAAACAAAATGGCGTCCGTAGGTGCTCTGTTTCCCTGTAAACATATATTTAGAACATAGTATTTCGCATTTGGTGATTTTCGGGAAAGTTAGAATGCATTCAATTAAAATTAGAATAAGTTGCAAGAACCGGATACAGACATCGAATATCCGAATATCCGTCGAAATCCGCCAGAAAGTATCATTTCAGTAAATAGAAGATGTTCCAGATAGGTTTTGTTTGTTTGTTTTGTTTCCATTAGCTTATAATATGAAAATGCAGAAAATATCCGGCTTAGAAGATTCGGGTTAGAACTGGTGTTCAGCAACCCATGTTTGTTGTGAAAGGTGACTAACAAGGTGGAATGGCCATCGTCGACTTGGCTGATGCATGGCATCGCTTCCCTGTTGTGTAGATCGATGCTCATGATTTACAGGATTGAATGGTAAAGACTTTTTTTAATAATCAGACCACCGTCACATAGCACAAATGTTGATGATTACTGAGTATAACAACAAACAAATATTCGGTCCATTTTAGTTCTCACCTTTGCTGACCCTTGAAGATCCGGGTTAGAATTGATCTTCAGTAGCCCATGTTTGTCGTAAGTGGCGACTAACGGGATCGGGTGGTCAGGCTCGCTGACTTGGTTGACACATGTCATCGTATCCCAATTGTGCAGATCGATGCTTATGTTGTTGATCACTGGATTGTCTGGTCCAGACCGCCGCCATGTAGCTGGAATATTGCTGGGTGCGGCGTAAATTTTCAACTCACTCACTCACTCACTTTTACCTTTGCTTGTTTGAGCTTGCTGAAACCACAAGACAGCAACACCGCACACTGTAAACAAAAAGACATGAATCCAATGTTGCAGGTATATATGCATGTGTCGAATGCTTTAACATCTAAGTGAAGCTAAAGAACCTCAAACATCAATATAGATCTACAAGCCCCTTTCCGGGCGGAAACAGCTTCTTAAATGGCGATTATATAAATAAATAAAGTAACCATCCCATCACAGACCCGTGACTATCCAGGTTGTCTTCCCCCATGAAGCTCCGGGTTAGAATTGATCTTCAGCAACCCATGCTTGTAAGAGGCGACTAACGGGACCGGGTGGTCAGCCCGCTGACTTAGTTGACACATGTCATCGTATCCCAATTGCGTTGAACGATGCTCCTGATGTCAGTCACCGGATTGTCTGGTCCAGACTCGAGTATTTCCCGACATCCGCCATATAGCTGGAATATTGCTGAGTTTGACGTTACACGAAAAACAGAAACAAAACTTGCCGTGGTACTTCAATGAGGTTATATGAATCGTAATCCGGGTTTGAATAAAAATAACAACAACATGCTAACACAATACGTACCTAACCATATCTGTGAACTGCTCGGCCTCATTCTACAGTGACAAGGAATCGAAAAGCGTGCATTTCAGTCCATGTCCATTTTATTATGTGACGGTCAATATGTAGTCATTTCGGACAGCTTCCAGGAATATCTCCCGTACATCGACAGATTGCTATTATCGTAAGTGTAAGTAGTACTTCCATAAGAGGATTACCGCTCCGCGATGTAGTCAGTTAATTTCAGTGATTGGTAGAGATTGTCCCTTGTCAGGCAATGTCGACGACCTACTATCAGTAATTAATGAGCTCCATTGGCGTAAAGAACCTGTTAATTTAAGACAAACAGTGAATTGATTAACTTGTTAAAACACATTCCCCGAAATTTAGCAAGAACGCACAGAGAATTATTCATAAAGACAAGTGATCTGAATATGGCAATGGCAGTGAAAACATGACAATTGCAGTTTAATCTCTGGATGCATGTGCATAGACGCTTAGCCGTTTATTAATTATTCTTATATTACTGACAGGTAATCCAAATGGATCGAATCAAATTTTGTTATAATAATTGGGCAAAAGGGAATATGTTGAACATTAACATTGCTAATATTAAGATCATACACGTCATATGGGTTTACAAAATCGTCAGTCATCTAAATATATGCACTAGAAATAGAACGTTACCTGTAACCCCATCTTTTCACATTAAATGTTCAGCTCCACGGGGAGTATACAATCCCAGCCACCTTATGAGGCGCTTGGATGCTAACAGGTACATCACCATCTCATTCTGACGGATACCCATGTACTGCTTGATGGATGGAGGCATATTTCAATATGATATATAACTTCAGAGAAAAGTGAGCACCTAATCTAGACAAAGTGGACCAAATCTCATGTCCCGGGGTACAATGTCACCCATCCAACTACTCACCGCTAACAGCGTTGCCTAACTTCGCCAGTACACGACCTTAACGGAGCCCGTTTAAACGCCCTCTGGGACTGTTTGTCTGAAATTATTACATTTGCTTTCCCTTCCAGTCAGGAGAGATGTTGTTTTGGAGAAAACAAACTGAAAACAGTTTTTTCTTTGCCGCCAAATTAAACTCAAGAACACTTACATGGCGAGTATAGTTCAGCATCGATACACATGAGACATTTTCTACCTACAAAGCCTCAAATTTCCAAGTATAATCTTACTTGATAAGATCAGTCGGCACCAAGATTCTGTACACTTGTAATACTTGGTTATATATGTGCTGACGTTATTGGATGAAGATGTATTTGAGATGCCAGGCTAATGCTCAGATTAACTGTACATCCCAAACAGGCAATGAGACCATGTCACGCAAATTAGACAATGCGGGCCAGAGTGATTTGCCTTAGCTTTTGAAAGAGTGTTCTGATTCCCACTGTCACAGATTGTACGAATGGTGTTAATGCGCGAATTGTGCTTATAACACGAAGTACTGATGATGCAGAACAGACAATGTTCCTACAATTGATTATATGCTTGGATTTCAGTCATAGTTACAGTGTTATTGTTACAATATGATGCAGGACCGTTCATAATCTGTGGCTGGGGGTGGGGATGGGTGTGTGTGTGGGGGTGATGATGATGATTATTATAGAGAAGCATGTACAATGTGAATGACCCCCCCAAAAAAATGTATGTACAAAGTAAGTGATCCCCCCCATGTCATGTACAAAATCAATGAACACCCAATAATTTGTAAGCATGATTTATTTCGTATTTTAATGTACAAATTTGCTGACCCCCTACCTCCCCAGAACAGAGTGCGTGACCCTCTCGAATATACCATG